CGCTATTAGGTTGGAGGCCATCGCTATTAGGTTGGAGGCCATCGCTATTAGGTTGGAGGCCATCGCTATTAGGTTGGAGGCGATTGCTTCTCTTCTTCTCTTCAACACCTTGCTGCGCTTTGCTGCCCACCTTTGCAGGTCTGCAGAGCTTAGTGGAGAAAATGAGAAGCTGAGACGCGAGCTGGAGCGAACCACAAAAATCTTGGAGGCTTCGTTAGGGATGGGCTCCGAGTATTGTAGCAGCAGATCCACAAATAGTCTCTGGCCAGTGTTGTTAACTCAAATGTCAGAGAGAGGGTGTGGCCCTGGCTTGAATTGAGGGAAGACACGACCACATGGGCCCGCATCCCTGAAATAGGAGGCGTGACATGATGTGCCTATGCCCTATGGCTTAATTCTCTTGGCTAGAATGGAACCCTGCAGAAGAGTGGGTTTTCAGTTCGGCAAGACGAGGCTCCAGTCTTTGAAACGCCTTTTTGTTTGTGGGTTGAAATTCTTTGGACTTTCTGTAAAGTGCATCACCGCTATGATCATCCACAGCTCTCATCATCATCGCCAGCTACCTCCATCGACCCCAATGAAGCAAAATGCAGACAATGCTTTTCTATGAGCTGACATGCTGTGCATGTCACCAGGGATGATGGAGGCTGAACATCACATGCACATGTGACAAGTGGTCAATGGTTCGGTCACGTCACAATTGTCATGCTAAGGCACTGAAGCTGCCTAAATCAAGCCGCACGGTCTAGTTTAGTCAGAGATTGGCGACTTGATTATTTCATTGCCATATGCCCTTGGGCAATGGAAGGTGGACCTGGTACACCAGCCCCACGAGTCGTTCACACTTTGATAGCAGGGAGTCTATACAATAGATTGTCACTATCATCAGGCACTCAGACCGTATCGATCCTTTTGAAGAGAAACCACAATGCACACCAGCGTTTCAGAAGAGGTGCTGGAGCAACAGAAGCATTTGGCAGAGGATAAGATGCTGGCCCTGGAGCAGGTCTTTCGGTCGACTCGGTTGTCTCGGGATGCCTAGTAGCGTCCTTGCTCCTAGTAGCGATGCCCTTTGCTCCTAGTACTGTAGCGTCCTTGCTCCTAGTAGTAAGGCCAGGAGCCCCTAGTAGCGTCCTTGTTACTACTAGTAAGGCACTTGTTACTAGAAGCGATGCCCTTTGCTCCTAGTAGCGTGGCACTTGCTCCTAGTAGGGAGGGAGTGGTCTTGCTCCTTCCAGCCTCTCAGCTCAGGAGCTGGGTTCCTTCTTTTAGGTACAGACGTTCCACCTCCTTAGGAGCATGCGAAGCTGCTTCGTCGCTTGGCCCAAGCACAAGCTGCAGGCAAGCATGGAACGAGTGCCTTGTGCATGGGTTTCTCAAGGTTTCTGTAGCTCCCTTGTCTTGGGTTTCTTTTGCACATGCTGGGCTTTTAGGGGTCCTTATTGGATTACATTGATTACTGTACATTATTACATGCTAGCCAGCTTGAGACTGGTAGAGTGTCCCCTGCCAATTTGTGCTAGAGAGGTCCTGATGCACCAGATCTTGCCCAAGACCAGGACGGAAAAAGATACGCAAATTTGTGTAATGTGATTTGCATGAGGGCTTGTGGCTTGTGGGATCCCTGTGTGGATGTTGTATTGTTGAAAGTTCTGGAGGTTTGTTTAACTCTCAAGTTTCTCCTCTTTGAAGAAGCATTGCGTTATTGCATCAAGTTGTACCATCCCAGTCATTCGGTTTCAGAGGATTGTAGAGCAATGTCAACCTGTGAGGGTTGCATCGACTTAGGAGCAAGGCTTCATCGGTCGTCAAGAAGACAGAAATGATGTCCTCCGCTAAGCCACAGCTTGCCATTGACTCCTTGGAGCATTTTGAGAGCTGACAGTCCTGATTGGACGTGAGTGAGGTCAAGCAAAATTGTTTTTGACTTTCCATATATTCTTCATTTGCAACCGACGACTTTTGCGCAGTGCCAAGGGTGGCTGGCAGGCGAACCCATCCAGCTGCATGCTGCATCTGTATGCGTATGTAGTGGCATCTAAGCTTCAAGATCGTGGGTTCTCCATAGGGCCTGCGGCTTTGACGGGCTTGGTTTTGCGATTCAGATTCCTTTGCTTCCTTTGTACCTTTCTGGGTCTTCTTGCCTAGTTGATTTGACTTGAGAGGTGGAACTCATAGTTGCAGCAAGCAAGTCTGCACTGTGAGATGTGCTGTGGATCGGATGGGACATCACTGCTCGAATTCTTTGGATCAAAGGTAGGGCTATTCGGCCCGGTAGATGTTTGTAGATTTTTGTATTTTGAGCTGGCAGCAAGTGGGCATTCTTCAGAGTTAGTGACTGCCACAATGACACAAGGGCTGCGGAGCATTCCAAACAATTTTATTTTTTTGTTCCGACTGTCTCATGGCAGCTTTTCACTCCACGTGCCATGCGACATGGGTAAGCACCCCGTTCAACATGTCCCCATGGCACTGCGTTGCGATCCAGGACAGCCAAAATTGTCAGCAACTACTCAACCTTCATATTCCACGTGTAGAATTCATCGAATGACTCTCCTAGTAGCAATGCCCTTTGCTCCTAGTAGCTTCTTGCTCCTAGTAGTAGGGCCAGGAGCCCCTAGTAGCGTCCTTGCTCCTAGTAGCGATGCCCTTTGCTCCTAGTAGCGTCCTTGTCATATTCAGTCCAAAGAGTGCAATTTGGGTCGGTGATTGGGGTGTGCCTTGCCTCAGCCATCTCCGGAGTCTAACGAATTTCTGCTGGGGGGCGGCCGTCACACAGTGCCCTTTCTTTGCTACAACTCTGTAGGATGTGTTGTCTTGGGACGAGAAACTTTCTTGATGCAAGGATGTTGGATAATTTGCTGCAACGTGGTGCCTCTTTCACCATAGTTTACTATGCGCCTTCAGGATGATGTCTGAGACGCTTTGCTCTTCGCAGGGGCCATGGAGCTGTGGCAATGCGACGAAACAGCTTGATTTAGATAAACAAATATTTTTCTGGTTTTGAAGCAATTTGACTTGATCAGATGTCATGGTACTCAGGATATCGTGGCAAGTTCACAGACCATGTAAACCTGCCAATTGAAGTTTGTCACCTCCTGTTTCATATTTGTAGCGGTGGAGGTGTTTATATCCGCTACGGAACTATGTTGGAAGAGCCCACCAGAAGGGCACGACACGGAGAGACAAGTCCGTCCGTCTTAGATGGTCAAGAGAGACAAGTCCATCAAGTTCCGCTGTCTTCTCAGCACTCTTCACGTTTGCTTGGACCGGCAGGGCCAACCAGCTTTGGTCCGTTGAGGCCACAGGCAACGAAGGTGGCGCCAAAGGGTATTCCCTTGGAATGGCTTCGGCTTGGCAAATCGGCGGTGCGGCCAAAACTGAGGCAGGAGCGGTGAGATTTGTAGGAGTTGCAGGATGTTTGGCAAGTTTTGTGTTTTTTCAAGCTCTCAAAGCTTTGCCCTTTCCGATCTTTGAACTAAGCTGAGGCTTTGCAGCGACTGCTGCAGGCTACGAGCCGAGTCTCACAGGTGCGGGGTCACAAGCTTATTTAGGGCATCTTTGCACAGCATGAAGCAATTGACACTCTTGTCGGGAGATGCACAGTTCAAGAGAAGCCAGCACAAGACAATACCAGACAGGACAAGACAGGACAGAACAGCCAAGCATGTTTTGTTTTCTTTTTTCAGGCATGTCTTGTGCTTTTTCTTTGTATATAGGTCCTTTTTTGAGGGGTCGCGATGTCATCGAGCGACTTTCCCAGGTCTTACGTGGAGCTTAGCAAATTATCCAGGGTGTCAGTGGCGTTAGGCTCTATTAGGCCGCTGGGATTGATCCTGTAGAGAACACTTTTGGCTGAGCCTTCGTTCTCACCATGGCGTCCCTGGTGGCGGGCCTTTTTGCCCCACACGAACGAGTTGGCCGAGGTGGGCGAATCAATCGCTGAGCGATGAACCGTTCGAAGTTTGCAATTTGCGATCCAATCGCTGCATTGTCTCAGTAATTTCATGGAATCATTGTCATTCTGCTGTAAGGCTTCCATCGACAATGATCAACATTTGTGGGAGGTCTTTGAAGTACTTCAGGGCTTCTGGACATGGTGGTGTGGGTGGTAGGCTTTGAGCTCCTTGAGGTGTGGCAGAGCACTTTTGCTGCTCCCAGCGGCGGCCCTCGCCGCCCTCAGAGCAGCACATGGCGAAACTGCTCACCTACAAGGTGAGGGGCGGGAGTCGCCCACGGAAGCTCATTGGAGGTTCCTTTTGAAAAGATTACGCAGCTCCAAAGCTCCAGATTGGGGTCCCACTCACACAAGCATTCCACTCTCTTTCAGGTGGAGTGCTACTGCGATGCAGTTGAATCACGGCGGAAAAGCCTAGCTGCTGTGGATGGCTTTTACCGTTTCCTGACAAGCGATGCAAAAACCTTTGAGGGGGTGGGGAATGCATCCTATTTTGGTTTGGATGAAGGGAGTGTTTGGAATGGCTACGGGGGAGCAGAAATTTGTCCAGCAGAGAGTTGCCAGCATTTCAAGTTTCCAAACGGCTTACTGTGTGATCCCCATTCCTTGCAATAGTGAAGTTCAAAAACAATGGTTCTTTTGTGTGACCAAAGAGATTTTGAAGACAGGATACGCATGAATGAATAGATCATCAATACCTGTTTTGCCATCGTCAAAGGGACCACCGATTTCTTTGCACTGCAGACTCTGAGGTGAGCTGATGGTTTGCCAGTGGCGGATCGAGGCGATTGAGGTGCTCTATCTCCATATCATTGTGCAACATTTAAAGCCTGGAGTCCTTGCACATCTTCAATATTTTTGCAGAGAGAGGTTTTTTTTTGTGGGAGGCACAGCAGCGTGCGCTGCAGACACCAGAGGCTTTGCATTTGCAAAAACTTCTGAATTAGATGCGCTAGACTCTTCCGGCCAGGCGCTTCCCGTTCCAGCATTTGAAGCTGACACTGAAGGAGTGTGCAACGCTTTGTTGACTGGACCACTTTAATTTAATTTCGATCTCAATTGGAAACAATTGCCAAAGGTGAATAATAGCTAAAGCAAAACATGCAACCTTGTCATCAAAATATCCTTGGCGAAGGAGCCGAAGCGCCTGCATTTCACCTGGTGGAGACATGCCTTTCAGAGCCCTGGATGCTGTTTTAGCTGCTTTTTGGAATCTCAGGCCATTTCTTTTCCTTTGCTCTTTTGAGAAACATAGTTTGCTGGCCTCATTGGTTCTCGGATCGGGAACATTCTGCAAGGAGCTCGCAACCTTGCGTGATGCTGCTCAACACGGCATCCAGGAGCGAGCAGCTCACTATGCCCTGGCCAGCCATGGCCCGCGAATGGCTTCTTCTGTCGAGGAGAAGAGCATGGCGCTAGAAGGATACTTGAAGCTTGTGACTTGAACTTGAGCAGTTTGAGGGATGGGCATTTTGTGATTTTATGTCCAACTTGGATCCTTTGACCTCCTCGTCCCTATGTAAGCTTTCATTTTTGATTCACCCATGTTCCGTTCACGTTCAACAACTGGGGTCTCCCAATTTGAGTCCCTAGATGGCCAGTGCGACGGGTTTGGAACTTCGAGCTTTGATGAAGATGATGCTTTTGCCTTTTGTCACGGTACTTTCGTCAGCTTCTTGAGGCAGACGAAGTCTTTGCAGAAGCCAGCGCAGAGATGAGGGGCCTTGCCGAGGTGGGGTCTGGTACTTTCGGTATTCTGAAGTAAAGCAGCTGCAGCGTATTGTCCTTTAACTCTGCTGTGAACACCCAACACACTGCCCATCACCCACCTCCCAGCAACATCCGTATGCCCTTATGCCTCACCCACGTGCCACGTGCAGCAACGATCTGCCTGGGCGAATCTTCCAAACTCCCTGGCGCGGCGCCTGAAATTTTGGAGCTGCGAATTGGAGGAGTTCCGGTGGGAAGGGCGAAAGGTTCAAGCCAACAAATACGGCAAAATCTTCTGGTTGTAGACCGTGTCTCTTGGATAAGAGAACCTAGCGGAGGACATGCGGGTCAAGAACCTGTCAGCGGTCGAGTCTTTATGGTACCCAGAGAGGTAAAGGGTTAGGGCACATCTTGAGCAGAGAGGGAAAGGCACCTGCATCAAATGGCATTTGAGGAGACTTGGAGCAACTGGCAAGATGCCACGTCCAGGATGTACAGTTCAGGCTGGGATTGGTGATCCTTTATCGTTCGATTCACGGCCGAGCAAGAAAGCTCAAGAAGTTTCGAAAAGAATCTGCCATGCTGTCATTGTCATGAAGTTTGGAAGGTCATGATGCGCTCTGTGCTTGGCGTGAGATTGCAGAAGTATTGGAATATGCTTGCCAGTATCTTGGCTGTACCATCTCAGAATCTGAAAAAGGCTGTAAGTTCTGAGAAGCCAAGGCATTTTGAACATGTGCAAGATGGAGGGCAGAAGTGGCAGAAGGCAAACTTTGCATTTGCAAAGGCTGAACTTCAAAGTGCCCTCGTCACATTTGTCGCTCGGAGCTTGGAAGTGGAATTGCTGAACCCTTTAGGAGAGGTGATGACAAGCAGCATGTTTGCAGCATGTGTGGGTGCATTTGGCTGTCGACCTCGAAACAAAGCCATTCAAGAGCATAGCACATTTTAGAAGACGAATCATCATAGAGAGACATCAGCCCAAAGACTGCAGACTGGAGGACTTTGCGGCCTTCATGGGGATGGTTACTTTTCGAGAAAGGAGGAACAAGGCTTTTCCCTGGAGACGCGCTTGGACATGCTGACGACCGTTCTCGAGCTACTTGATCATCTCCACGTTTTAGACAAAGTTGGAGAAGAACTGCTGCGTTTAGGCGAGACTTGAAGAACTTGTCGAGATGTCGTGGTTTCCTGTGGAAAGGACCTCACAGCCCATGTAGCACACCTTCGTTGAATCATCATAATTTCCTTGGACTGCAATCTAGAATGGAGCCTTCCAAGCTTTCCCATTCACGACAATTTACCACATAGGCTTGGGAGGAGTGGTCCGTGCCTTCCTTCCTTCCTTCTTTCCTTCCTTCCTTCCTTCTTTCCTGTTGATCTTCCTTCTCATTCATCTTGAAACATTTTGTTCGATCCGTTCCGTCCAGGCTCGGAGTCCCTTCCTTTACCCGCGTGTGATACCGCAGCCTGGCTTGGAGAGAATGTGACAGCGAAGGCGGGATCTTGCGGAACGGTGTCGTCTGGCTCATTGCGACTCCTTTAACACCAATTTGGCCCATGGCTATTGCAAGAAGTGGTGGCACGTGCGAATGGCTGGGCAACCTGAATTCGCGATTTTGAGCTACAATGGCTGCCTTGAGTTGACAAGAAGGAAGTTATCAAGGTTGTGTGGACGTTGAACGAAGTGCAAATTTGCGTCGAGACTCTTGAGGTGATTTGCTCGCAAACCAAATCAAATCTTGAAACGCTTCCTGCTTTGTGCAGACTCTGCCTCGTGCGCCAACTGCATGGCGAGGATTTTTTGAGATAAGATTTGCAGCTGCACTGCCTTGATCTTCATGCTAAGTGCAAACGTCCTATTGACGAGTGATTCTTCTCTGACTGTCACATCCAGGATTTTGTGCATCCTGCTATTCCGCAAACCGTGACTGTTCGTGATTTTCCTTGCCTTGCATCTCTTTTCCACATAAAAATCATGTGAAACGCCACTCAAAGCATCCTGAGACCATAAGAAAGGCCACGCGGCTGGGCAGACCCCAGCGCCATTGATTGGTTCCTGACGTACCCGACGAAAAAAGTTTGCCTTGGAGGCTCAGATACACCACCGCGCTTCTTCGTTGAGACTGACGGGCCTAATGCCTCGATCAGCAAGTTTTGTATCCAAACAGATCCTGCCAGGTGCCGATGTAAATCCCCAGAGATCACTGCAAGTCACAGGAGGTGGCTGCAAATCGAAGCAAGGCTGCAGGAATCCCAACAGATCGTTGTAAATCAACAAATTTTGAGCACAGAGGCCATGTTCGCTACTAGGGGCTCCTGGCATCGCTACCAGGAGCAAGTAGCTACTAGGGGCTCCTGGCAACCTTCAATCACAACCTCAACAAGGCCGCGCATCCTGCATCCCTTTGGAATTATGGTTGGACAGCTACCTGTAGGCTTCTTCTGCTTTTAAAAAAACCGTTTGCCCGTGTCTGGGGAGATTACTGGTAGCATTTTACAAACATTATGACTCATTATTCATTTCCTTAGAAGAGTTCAGAGGAGTACTCTAGTGCAAAGGCAAGTGCAAAGGCAAAGGCCAAGAAGATTTTGTGGCCCGGGAGCAGTGGAGAAACGTCACAAAGGAGGGACCTCTAAGCCCGCCAAAACCACCCTAAGCTAGGAAGCTTTTGCCCACAAGCCTTTGGTGACTCCAACCTAGGAGTCTAGGACATTGAGCAAAGGCAAAAGGGGCATTGTTTCTCTGTGACACTGTTCTTCACTGTCAAGAGTTTGACCACCAGTACTGTGTGGAGCAGCAAGTGCATTTGGACAATGTGAGTGGTAGGCAAAGCCGGATGCTTTTGTGCAACTGCAAAGCTTGGCTTCCGGTGGGCACGCTGCTCGCGTGCTGCTGCCCTGGTTCATCGAATGCCTGGTACAGGCGATGGTCAGCTCTTGTTTCAAGCTTGGATGACAAATATTATTAAAGATAAACCTAAGAGCGATGGCCTCCAACCTACAATCGATGGCCTCCATCCTACCAGCGATGGCCTCCATACTGCTAGCTTGGTCCAGCTTGGTGTATAAATATAGTTACAGGCATGAAGTACATGCACAATGTTTTTGTCATGAAAGCCTTAAAGCAAGCGGACAGTTTGGGAGAGAGCTTTGGAAGTGGCCCGTGGGAACGAATCAATGTCACCTTGGCTTTATGCCGGATGGTCATGAGTCTGGGATAGGGGGGGGGACATGGGTGAACTCACAAGCTCCACAGGGGAACTGATGGACCTCGACAATCTCTCATGTACTGTAATTAAAGCATGTGGTCCCGAGGCAGTGGCTTCCGCAGCAAAACGAGAACATAAGGAGGACATTAGACACATTTCAGCAGGCACCGTCCAGCTTGCTTGCAGTCGCACTTGCGTATTGATCCAAGTGTCGTCCAGTTGTCCCAAGTAGGTGCATCATTGACAGGTTTTCCATGCAGCTGTTCCAGAAGAGTCTTATGATTGCAGGACTCATCGATAGCCTTTGTGTTGTGGAAGCGTTTGGACTTGCCCTCCGCAAGCTCACTGTTGGCCGCTGAGCATGAATGAGTCGACTTGACACCTGAAAGTGTTAATGTGCAAAGACTGATATGCTTGTACAACAAGGTCATGTTGCGATGATCCAAATGAATTCCTTTCACCTCGTGAGAATGAAAGCAATTGTTGCTTTTCCCGAAAATCTAGAAACCAAATGTATAGTATAGTGAGCTATCCTGAAGGTAGTCTAAGACCGGGCTTATATAAATGAAAACGAAAACACATTTGTTTCTTCATGAAGCTACTAGGAACAAGAATGCT